ATTCATTTTACCTTTGTCGAGGGCATTGTTCAAACAAGTGATCTGTGATTTTAAGTATGTACGCCTTTGTACAAATAATCTAACTCTGTCGGCCATCGTTTACGCTTTAGAACAAATCTGAATCGAATGACTTACGTTTGGATTGCTCAGGCAAGGTGGGCGAATAACGTCTGGCGTTCTTCTATCTTGCAGAACCCGCGATGAGATGGACGATCCTCGTATATGTGGATCTTGTATGTATGTCCGGTGTGCGCTTGTGTCTTGATGGGTCGTTTCGCGTGTGGATTCACACCTCACAGGAGGCACCAAATGTTGTGTCAGTCAGGTAGATAACATTGATATCTACACCGTGGTTTCGTTTATGGAGACAGTTTATTTGTTTCTCAAAAAATAACAACACTAATGTCGAAAATGTTTATTCGATTATCCACTGTACACGGAAGCAACGGTATGCGATATAAGACGCGTGTTCGCGTCACGTTGTTCGGAGACCGATTTAACGCTTGCAGTTATATGTATTCTGTTCGTTATATGTTTCCGATTCGTGGCAACGCCTTGCGACGAATACCCTGTGCCTATTTAACAGGCGACGCTTCGGGTGGTATCGTCGCGAGCCACGCGTATCGGACGGACGCGCGATCACGCTTAAGGCCGTCGCCTTGAATCGCGCTAGACTCGAACACACACGATTTCGTATAATATGGAATAGTCTCTAACTGAGACGACTCGTCGGATACCGGACTCACTCGGCCGAAGATGCTTCCGGATCCGAGTGTCGAACTAGAGTGAGGCTCGACGCCCGATCTCCCCTGACCATAACCGCCCTTACCCCTTCCGGTATGCCCTGCGATTTCCCCGAACGGCCTTGGATGGTCATAAATCCGTAGACCTCTTGGCAGGTAAACAACTGCGTCGGAGATCCTTTGATGACGCAACGGCTCAGAGCGGGCCAATACCGAGTCGGAATCTCCTTTGTGACTCAATGTCTCGACGTGGCGGTAGAAAGGTCTAGGATCACCGGCGCCGAGCCCCTAATTGCTTGCATATGCTGGAGATCGTTTTTGTCACTCCGCATGACGATAATATACATATATATATATGAGTATATGTACACCTATGCACGTACGTATACGGGCATATGTGTGTGTATGTATGTATGCATGAGGGCGTGTGTGAGCCGTCCGTATCGTTTCGCATGTCGTGCACGACCTTTGTATTTGTCCTACGCAACATTATAAATATCATTACATAATAAAAAGTAATTAAAGTTTTTTCAATTTTAAAATAGAGTAACATTACATACTAAATTAATTAATTAGTTAAAATATACAATATGATACAAACAAAATGTATTACAACACACATAAATTTATTTTAATGTTAAGATTTAATATTACATTTTATATATGTTAAATGTACATTATATTTTGATTTGTGTTTATGTTAATTTTGTATATACATTGTACATTACCTTCATTATTACTATTATTTACTACAGTATTAGAACTATATGCCAAAGTATTATTCAGTGTAATATGTTCATCAGTTTCTTTTATATTTTTATAAATACCACCATTTTCATTTTGTTTTATATTTTTCTTTTAGAATTCTTCATAGATATTTTGATAGGGATATTAACACATCTATTACTTACTAAAACATATAATTAATGTCAAATAAGATTATAACATAACAAACTTATATACATTAATTGCACTTTCATAAGAGAGCTGCAAAACCAAAGGATAGTTATATTCTATTGTATTTGTCCTTCTATTATTTATAAGCTACTAGAACAATACAAGCGCGCGCTTCGCGCGCGCCACTGAGCTTTGAACAATATAATATATTTTTATTCCAAACTATGATGCTATTACAAACTTACTATCAGTTTATTAGTACTATTAATTAATAATGCTAAGTGATATTTATTAGTACTATCAATTAATGATG